ATGCACACACACACACACACACACACAGTTTTAGTCATCCAAACCCCTTTCACCTAAAACATTTACTTGGAGTACCCCATATATATAATTAGGTAAGCTAATTAATAATAATTTTTAAAAAGATAATTCTTTAAATAATGAACTTTTTTGTAACAGTTTAGATTTTTTTATATTACTTATTTTTACGATTTCATTCATTTTTAGCTTTTCATCAATTCACAAACCCTGTTCTAAGCTAATGATAGACAAACCTTACCTTAAATGAACCTAACCTTACCTGACCATGAAATTAATGACAATTTAAATCTTAATGACAAACTATGTAACAGTGTTTAACCTCCATAATCGTGTCTCTGTCTCAGTGATAAGCCATTAAGGATTTGACCTCATATTGAAAGGGTCAGAAAATGGTAAAAGCTTAATATACATGCAGTACGAAGCCAGTAAGCACCTAAATAACTAACTGCTAACAGTATGCTCTTACGTTTTCAGCTGATATTTGCTATTCATGGTGGTGTTTATGAGTAAATCAGCAGAAAAATTGTTTAAATTGAAAGGGACTAACACAAGGTAAACAAGGACATTATTTTTATTTTAAACAACACCTTGTAAGATGCAACCAGAATATTCATTGACCATCGCTGCCATGGGAAAGCCCAGTTGAAAGTAGATAGAATCAGATGAAGGCATACCACAACAAAGGTACTGTTTTCCTGAGAGGACATTTAAACTATTTTTTCATTATGAATATGACATTGACCTGAAGAATAAATGCTGCATCCTATACAGGTAATCAGACTCACTCAGTCGATATCTCCCTCATAATACATTTAGCATATAGCTTACAGTATATAATTTTAAATATAATACACTTTTTTGTACATAATACTTTTAACTTCAATGAAATAACTCTACATTCCTTCATTACTAGATCTAAGATGATGTTTTCTAATTAGTATGGGAGGCTTGGGCTCATCTATTAAACTCTCAACTTGAGATATGAATCCGTGGCGGAAGGAAGTAGTTCCGCACACAAGACACACTGTTCTTGTTTCTTATTTATCTACACACTTGTGCAGTCGAACTGTTATTTAAAAGCAATATCATGTTGGGTTTTATTGTCCATGAGCGCTCATCATTCATAGTGACTAAACCTCTGGCTCAGTGAAAGAGCCATGAATGATAAGTGCTCAGAGACAATAAGACCCAACATGACAAAATATAGTGAAACAAAAAGATCCAGAGCCAGTAATAGCCTTACCATTATTGGTTTAGGCAGGTTTCCATCAGGACAAATGGAGGAAAGAGGCTGGCCAAATAGCTTGTGCGAGGCAGTTTGTGGGTCAGACTGGCCATCGGATTGGTTAAAGTGTCCCCTCCTCAGAGCCCAATCAATCAGAGACCTTTTTCTTTTATGTTTCAGCAAAGTACCTGTCAATGAAACACAACAGACCAATCAGACATAGGCAATTTCATTAATTGGAGGAGCTTATGTTCTTCTGATTCCATATTTGACAAATAGTAGTTCCATCTACTTTATTTTATGTTTGTAAAAACATGTTTATGTTTGGAAAATTGTACCCTTTTTTTGCACTCTCAAGTAAATGTTTCCTCTCATCTAGGGTTGTCAAGTGTCTTATGTCTCATCTAGAACTAGTCTGATCACATGCTTTGATAATCCCTAATTTTCCTGTAGTGTAGTGGAGGGATATGGAGGGCATGAGAGAGCCACTCTCAAGTGTAGTAGATATCAGAATAGGCTGCATCCTGTGTGATTACCCTAAATGCTCCTCTTAAAGCTCTTCGTTTAGCTCTGAATTCAAGGCCTCCATTACTATTAACTGACCCCTGCTGGCATCATTATGTACAATCAAGTATAATATGATGAGATGTGAGAGGAATTCAAATAGCTTATTTGTAGCATCAGAGGTAATATAATAGGTGTTATTTACTTCATTTAGTGCTGGAAAATGTTTAACTAAATAAAATGTTAACTGTTCTAAATTTTTTTATCTCTTCCTCTTGTCTTTGTGTCCTGAAAATCAGTAAAAAAAAACAAGTGAAATCTAATTTAAAAAGTTCTGAGAAACATGTCTGTGACATTTACAGAAGGGAAAATGCCATTGCTTTTACGTGCGTAATCATGTTAATAAATACTTTAGAGAGTTTTTTTTTTTAAACAAAGAACTGCCTAGGTTGGATTAAAGTTACCAAAAAGCTTATGGAAATGTCAAATTCCTCTCACGATGATGTAAATATCTTTATGTTTCAAAGTGATACATCAAAACAGAGAAGAGCTTGTTCAAAAACATAATACACATACAGAGTACATACTGACAGATTTTACACTTCCCTGACTTCTCTTCCATAACTTCAGCTCAGGCTGTACTATAAACAATCTAGGACATGACCATCTTTTCTGCCACTGGGATCTGCATGCTTTATGAGGAACAGGACACAGACTGTCAGGGTAAATATTCAAGCTTATTAGATTCTGGCCATAAGCACTGGAGTAGTTTGAGCTTAAATGGCAGCTCCCGGTGCAGTTTTGTTCAGCCAATATTATTGTTATTACATTATTACTGGGACTGAGAGGAATGACATTTTATCTCCAGTGAAATTTTCATGTAATATACAAGTTGACTGTCAGCGCCAAGCCTTGTGATTAGTGCACCGATATATAGCGCATCTGCGCTCACGGTGACCTGAGTTCGATTTTTGTCTTGAGGTCCTTTGCCGATCCTGGCCCCCTCTCTGCTCCACTCACCCAATGCTTTCCTGTCTGCTCTCAAACTGTCCTATCAAATAAAGGCATAAAAGGCCACAAAATATAAAACTATATATACATATACATTGAAAGTTCTGGTATGAAACTCTAGATGGCGCAGTCCGATAGAGATCTAACTCAGTATGACATAATGACATCAGTATCACATGGCACAGCTGATTGGTTCTCTCCTGTATCAGTAGCCAATGAGCCCGCTGCTCAACATTCAAATATTTGGCTAATGCTTGTGGTAGCAGTTTGCAGCACACTTCAGAGGCCCTCCACCTTCCCCAGCTCCACCTGTATAGATGAGGGTTATTCATATATGTTATGTGTGCAGCAGCAATATTCTTTACATGCTCACAGCAGCATGTTGTGGATGTATTGGCAGTAGCAAGTATCGGTACTTGCTCTGCCGCAGCAGCAGCAGCAGCAGCAGCAGCTCCGCCAAGACCAAATACATTAACATTGTCATGTATATTACCACGCAAATCACTCAGAGAGTTGTCATGACAAACGTACATATATATATATATATATATATATATACAGTATATATATATATATTCTGTATATTAGGGCTGTGCAAATAATCGAATGCGATTTATTGGCGATTAAGAACGCGATATTGCGTAGCTTGTCAGTGATCTACTGCTCTGTGTAGCAAATGCCGCTCCATCTGAAAGCACGTGCTGGAGATTTACTACTAATCACAGAACCGGCTTTACTGACGAGATGCGCATGAAAATCGCATTTGATTATTTGCACAGCCCTAATATATATATATATATATACACAAGCTGACCATTTGTGAGTGGGCATGTTCTCAAACGACATAAGATATGCTTTCATGATGGGAACTACTGAGTATACAAAGAAAGTGTAATATGCGCACATCCAAAAAAATTTAGGCAGGTGCTCGATCACATGGAGTACTTCACTGTCAATAAAAAAAATCGGCACACTGCCACTACTGCTCTCAAAAAAGAAGTTTATTAAAATCACAACGTTTCGACCCTAAGGTCTTCGTCAGGCAAACAACAAGTGATCAGTAGAGTACAATTTATCAACATGATCTATCACACCTGATACAATTCATCAAACAAATTACCCGAATCATCCAATGAACGAAAACAAAAAACAACAACAACAATAAAAAATATATACATAATATCCCAAATCACAAATAAGGTTTCAAGTCAAATTCCAAATTTAATCCTTTTGGAGAAAGAGTAATGTATAGATGTAGAACTCTTCCCTTTGTAATAAGATTTTATTGATGTCAACACACCTTCTGGGTACTTTCATTTGTTCAATACCTAAATATCGAGGAGTCGACAAATTATGTTTGAAAGCATTGAAATGAACGGCAATGGGGTTCTTTTGGTCATTCAACCATATATTGCTTCTATGTTCGGCAATACGTGTTTTTAAACAAAGCTTTGTTTTACCTATATAAGCAAAACCGCATGGACATTTAATCATATAAATTAAATTTTTGGTATTACACAAGATAATTCCCTTAATTTTTAACTATTTTCCTGAGTGAGGATGGCTAAATGTATGGCATTTAGTTGTGAAGTTACATTGTGCATATTGTCCGCACCTATAATTGCCATCGGGGACTGAAAAGGGATGACTTGAGCATTCCAACCCTTAGTCAGCTCTCACCACCATTTTTCGTATATTAGGAGCTCGTTTATACACAATTCGTGGAGTATCTTTCAGTTCCTGATGGCAATTATTGATGCGGACAATGTGCACAATGTAACTTCACAACTAAATGTATAAATGTAATGTATTCCTGTCACTAATTTGGAATTCAAAAATTCTATTGACTCTAAACTTTGAACGAAGTGTAAATAATAAACAAAAGAAGTAAGCATTTATGAGAATGTAGATGTTTCGACTCATAAAACTTTTTGTAAGTTTGTAAGATACAGGCCATGTGTCAGTTTGCCCAGCCTCTCACTACTATTACACACTGAATCTGCACCTGCAGACCTCAGCAGAAAGTTCAGCAGAATTGAACCATTTATCAATCACAAAGGTCCATATGTCCCCTGTCCCTTCTAATGTAAAAAACATTTAGCCTTCAACTACCAATAAGAGTACAGTACTCACAGCTCCACAAATTCCACAAATTTCTCTTGAGTAGATAAGGTGCAGCAAAAAGTCAGTAGATTTTGTTACTACTAATGGCCTTTGGACAGCCACATACTATCGAGAACCCCATAGATAACAGACCCTCACGAAAGGCACTAGTCTTACTACACATTTGATGAAATTATAAAGTTTTATTGAGCTAGCCACATGCATTATTTTGGTGACATATGCACTCACCCCTAGGAGTATGTGTTCTGGGTTTTAGGGTGAAGTGAGGGGTCTTGGGAGTGGCCTCTGTCTGCTGGCCAGAACTAAACACCTCCTGCAGGGGCTCACTGGGCATGTGCAGATGGTCTTGTTGACTTCTCAGGGAGTGATGCAGGATGAAGAATGGTAGCTCATGGCCTAGAAGAGACAAAAATGGAGACAGGAAATTGGTATTTTAGATTGCAGGAGATTTCATTTTCAAAGAACAGTGCAGGGGCCAAAAAAAAGTATTATTGTGTTTACCTTATTGCTAACATATTTCATTCTGTATATGCTTGAAAAAAGCAAGCATAAAGCATTGCGACATTGAGAATAGTTATTGGTTTGTTTTCTGATTCCTCTATAACTAGCACAAAATCTGTATAAAAATACGACATATGGATTAGCGTGCAACCTTCTACTGGAAATTCAGATTTCAGATTAATATTTAGACAGTGAAGATCAGCTTGTGTGTGTATGTGAATGTTTACAGTTGGTATTTGGGGAGAATTATCCTGAGGTTGCCCTATTACAACATAGAGAGAAACAGGCAGACATAGAGAAAGTTTAATTGAGTTTTGGATTCTGTTATCTGATCCTAAATCTCTCATATCCTGTTGTGCAGAGAATTCATCAATAGTAGTTCATACAGACTGTTTTCTATCTCTCTTGGGAATCATAAAGCCTTTTTTTTCTATAATTCTTAGTCTTTCATCACAGAGTTGTCAATGAGCGGAGAGTTTCATCACAGCTCAGAGCTTTTAAAGAAACCTTGCAATCACATCCCACAGAGGATTTCAACCAAGATGTGAGAATATCTGAGGAAAAAAACATCAAGTAATTCTTAAAACATTATACCAGTATGATATATTCATTAAAAAAAAACATTCATTTATTTTTCCTATGTAGGTGTGCAGGGATGCTGGAGTATAATATACCATTTTAGCCACAGAAGAACTTTGTAAATACTCTTTTAATTATGCATGACATCTGTAAATAGCTGAAACTAGACTGACTGTAAGAGACACAACTGGCAAACTAATTAATTCTCCAACTTTGAAACTTGTGAATGTAATTTTTTTGGGCATAACAACAACAGAGAGACACACAGAAAATATTCTAAGCAAAAAGTGAATTTCACAAAAGAAATGCAAAGTTTGTCAAGACAAACTCTGAATGTTGATGGCAGACAGACAAACAAACAGACAGACAGACAGACAATTAAATTCAGATCCCAAGTCATGGACTGAAAGGGAGGAAATTCTTCAGTTCTGCATTTTTCTCAACCATGATGATATATTTATTTGATGTTGAGTTTGTCTGAGAAGCATGCCTTGTAATTAAAATAAACTATACATATTTTTTAGGTTAAACTTTGTGGTAATGTTCCGTTTAGATGGCTTATTCATACTATTAGATTCAATATTGTTGTTTGAACAATATTCCCTAATTATTAATTTTGTATGTAATCTAAAGGCCTCTGGTGAATGAAATTTGTTGAACCCTGCATGGGTACAAATTAAAAAATTGGCACACATAAGGAAACATGTTTACCAATCCAAAAAAAAACTAAGATTAGTTTGCCACCCCTGATCTATCATGAGTTCCCAATTGCTTTAAAAAGTATCTTCATACTGTATGTTTGTGTGTGTACCTACTGTACTTAATATTTTGGGGACAAAAAATAGGGTAACACTTTATTTTAAGGTGTCCTTGTTACACCTGTTACATGTACGTACTATTATAATAACAATAAATCATGCATAATTACATGCAAGTAACCCTAATCCTAACCCTAACCATATAGTAAATACATGCAGTTAATTAATATTACTCATTACTTAAATGTATAATTACACTGTAACAAGGACACCTTAAAATAAAGTGTAGCCAAAAAATAGTAAGCTAAACTTGACAGAATCTTTCAAAACCTAAAAATAAAATAAATCAAGCTGTTAAGGTTAACGTGAGAGTATGGGTTAGGGTTAGTTTAAAGTATCTATAACTAGCTTTAAATCGTCTATATGCAATGTCCCTATTTAGATTAAGTTGATGTGTGTGTGTGTGTATGTGTGTGTGTGTGTGTCATCACCAATAAGGGGGTATGTTTCCTCTTCTTTCTCATAGTTTACACACAGCTGGTAGTCAGAGACTTCACCCTGCACACAGGAAGTTGTCATTATGTTTTGGAAAGAGACAGGAAAGAGGAAGTGGCTGTTATCAAACACAGGAAATGCCAATGGACAAACTTGGCACAATATAGAGTTACTGGTCAGAGAGCAACAGAATGATGTATATAAAATTATAGAACCACATTGCCTGGCCAGGTAGTCAAATACACCAAGATACAAGATGATATCAGGGGCAAAGAAAAAGCATGTGTCTCTCTCATTTGGACCACTCCCTTGTACTCAGCTGTGCTTTAAAGAGGATAAATAGCATGTATTACACTACACTCTCAACGAGAGGCTTTTAAGGATCACTTACCAATAGTTTGCACTGCTGTATGATGTACTGAACCACATTTTCTGCGGTCGTGCTCACGTCCACTGCTACAGCAACGGTCTTAACAGCCAACAGCGTGTAAACAAGCAAAAACATTGAGCATCAACTCACAATGAAAAGCTTCAGGCTAGAGTACAAATAACTTCCACTTGTAAACAGAGACATGAATTTAGTTCCCAGAGGACTGGGAGTGGCTCGGCTCCAAATTAAACTAAAAAAGCGCTTGTGTACCGCTGAGCTGTTGTCATCTGGACGGCAAATCAGCAAGACGTAGAGAAGAATGGCATTTGGCAAGACTTTTTGCCTGGCTCTGCAGGTGTGCCTGAAGAACAAAACATTATTAGAAACAAACAACAACAAATGCGAAAGCTTGTCACAAATACAAAGTCATAGAACAGTCAAGAAAATTGACAACAGAAATCACAGCTGGAACACCTCAATTTTGAAAGGAAACTCTTATTGTGATGCATTATATAAGGTTATGGATGTGATTCTTTGATTTTTTTATTTTTATTTCCTTACCACTGAAGAGCATGTAACCATCTTTCCTTTGCTTCGGATGAGCTTAGGTTTGGGAGGACAGGTATAAAGAGAGAGAGAGAAGGTTAGATTTCATTTCAATTTTCCTATTCACAAAGTGCTTGACATTTACATGCTAAAGAGATTTTCAGATAGATGCATCTGAATGAAAACATAATAACCAATGGCACTGAGGTCTGATACTCGTGAGTGTGGTTTGCATGTGATATAGGTTTGTAGAGCTTGTGACTCATTTCACTATTTGGTCCAATCTTACATCCATGTAGACGTGTGTTTCATATTACATTACATCTTTTTTGTTTAACAAAATAAATAATCATGACAAACATCAACATCACTCCAGCCTATGGAGGACATATTGTAAACAGCACAATGGCAAAACTATGGCAAAAAAATCACTCCCCTTATACAGTCCTAAAAGCAAAAGTGAACAAGCATGATTCTATACTTGCTGCTTGTAATTTTCTTTTGAAAGCATGTGTATGTGTCATAGAATCTCTTTTTCTCTCTCACATCAGCTGACCTCCCCAGCTCCCTGTAATCTTGTGCAAAGTACTTTATAATGTCACCTTTCAAAAATCTTGTATTCTTCACTTTTGTAGACATCTAAATTGTACTGGTGAATTGACATACAGTGCATACAGTTCTGAAAATGGCTGTGATTCAGTTTTTTTTTTTCTTTGGGTCCGTGCATTTGTAAATTACGTGTGTGAGGATTTGTTCTGTGCGTTTATGGATTGTTGGGCAAATTCCAATCAGAAGTGACCATCTCTATACCTTACTCACTCTGAAAGGCAGAGCCCTTGAAATGAACACTTTGGAAGGAGCAGGCCAAATGTGTCTCATAATGTGGCTTGGACCAAACTTGGCAAAAGGAACAATGAAATGTAATTTCCTAATGATCTTCACCTACAACGTTCCCATGACAATGCAGCACTGTGCTCTTGCAACATGAATCTATTATTACTGCGGTTAAAACAGTTGTTACACATAAATATGCATTTTGTAATTGCGTTTTTACAATTGCTTTGTATAGTGTGTGTGTGTGTGTGTGTGTGTGTACAGGTATATATGGTTTATGAGGACACAAATGTGTATAATGACATGGGTAATACAACGTAAACATGGTTTATGAGGACACTTCCTGTGTCCCCGTAAAACAAAAGGCTTAAAAAA